ATGCAGAGGTCGGGGACAGCTTCACAATGCTGCGCTCAACTGCCTGTGCCAGGAGGGAGGCCCCAGGATTAAATATTCTTTTTTTTTTTTAAGATTTATTTATTCAAGCACTGGGTACAGTCAGAAGCGTGGGAGGGTGAGAGAATTCATCAGAACCAGAGAGGGGAACAGAACAGGCAGACTGATGAAATACACTGCTGAGGGGAGCAGTGGGCATGGCAGGAGAGTTCTGCGCGCCATATGAGACCCTCACCAGCTATCAGGGATAGAACCGGTGCTGCAGAGGCTGCAGGCAGCCTCGCAGCCCAGCGCTCAACAGCTGAGCCACCAGGGAGGCCCAGGATTAAATATTCTTGAATATCTTTTGACTTAGAGTTTTTCAAATACAATGCTTCGATCTGTAGATCTGTACTTGCCTGTGTATTGTTTCTTCAGAGACGCCTTTTATGATAAATATATTTATCACATAATCCTTTGTTTTTGTACAATGTATGATTTCCCCATGAAATTTCCACCACCAAATCACCCATGCATCATCACCATAGTCCATTGAGCTCTTTCCACCACAGTCCTGATATCTCTCCATCTTCTTCCCATACAGAATTTCTCTGGTCTATGGTTGCTTGTTGATTTTTATTTTTACTTTATTATTTTGTTATTTTTTCCCTGACCCCCCTTTTTTGGTTCTTCTGCATTCCTCCTATAAGAGAATCCATCTGATATTTTTCTTTTTCTTTCTGAGTTATTTCGTTGAGCACAATCCCTTCCCGCTCCATCCATGTTGTTGTGAATGGCATGAGTTTATCCCTTTTGATTGTTGAGTAACATTCCATTGTGTATATACCACATCTTCTTGATCCAGTGCTCCATTACTGGGCATTTGGGTTGTTTCCATAGCTTACCTATTGTAAATAGTACTGTAATAAATATAGGAGTGCAGGTGTCCTATGGGACACTCCCTAGGAGTGGAATTTCTGGATGATATGGAAGCTCCATTTTTAGTATTTTGAGGAACCTCCACACAGCTTTCCATAGTGGTTGAACCAGTTAGCATTCCCATCAGTAGTGCAGGAGAGTTCCTTTTTCTCCATAGACTAGCCAACATTTGTTGTTGCTAGTTTTTTTGATATATGCCATTCACCTATCTCATGGTTTTTATTTGCAATTCCGTCTTCAGAGAAGTCTTACATCAGACTATTGGTTTTGCTTTATAGGTTATCTGTTTCTTCCTGACCTTGTCAGCCTCATTATTTTCTCTTTGTCTTGAATTCTTAAAATCATTATTATTATATGTCTTGCTATAGTTTTCCATATATTGTGACAATTTGTTGCCTTCCAACTACCTGTATGTATATTTATGCCTTCTTCAAGTTTGGGAAGTTCTGTTCAATTACATTCTTGAATAGTTTTTTAGTTCCCTTGTCTTTCTCTCCTTCCGGGGTAACTATGAGTCTTATTTTCCTTTTTCGTTGTGTCAGATAATTCTAGAAGTATGTCCTTTTTTTTTTTTTTTTTTTGGGTAGCTCCCTTTCCTTTTCCTTCTAGGTTCTTTTTGTATCAAAAACAAATACAAATAAATCAGCGTACTGATTTATTCCTTTACATCATCTATTTTCATGGATTTTTTTCCCCTAGAAATTTTTAGCTCTTACATTGATTTTTAAACAACCTGGAGTGCCTATTTTTTTCTTTAAGTTTCAATCTTCTTTTATTTGTTGTGTTTCTCACAACACTCTTTTTCTTTTTCAGCTTCCTCTCTTGTATCTTTGGTTTTTTAATTATAGCAATTTTGTATTATTCATCTGTTAAATAGAAAAATTATTCCATTGTATTGTTTGTTTCTGGGAATGTTCTTTCTGTGGCATATTGTTTCTGGGGGTTGGGGGGTGGGAGAGGGACTGCTTGACATCTGTATTTTTCTTTCTCCCCACTGTTAGCTTTCATCTTTGTTCTAGGTATGGATCCTTCGGGGCACTAGTGGTACTTTCAGGCACTCTTATCAGGGCATGAGTGGTATTGTTTTGTTTTTTTCTCTGTTGGCACTGATGGGTGGAAACTCCTACAGCTCCCACTCAGGTATTTGTCCTCCAGAGAGAGTGCTGGTGACCGAATGTTGAGAAAGTTATTTTTAATAAAATCCAGATTCTGCTTTGTCAAACCTAACTTGCCTGAAATACTTGAAGAAACAGTGTTTCTTAAAACCAAAATTTATAGTTTCCATTTTAAAAAGTCAAAAAAGAAATCACAGTTCTAACACTAATCTGTGTCTAATCATCACACATTTTTCCTGGAAGAAATTTTATGAGTTAAGTCAGTGTATTTAAAACACTACAGAGTAAACTTTGGGAAGTCATTTTACTTGTCTAGACTTACTTCCCCCAACTACAAAATGACAGGGTGAATTAAGTCACTGACTATTATTACCAATTGTAATAGGACAGCTGGTCCTCAAAAAATATTCTGTTCAACATCCTTTTGTTATAACATAAATGACAAAAGCAAAGATTTCCAGGTTAGGGTCACTATCTGTATAGAATTAGCACATTCTTCCCGCATTAGTGTGTTTTCTCCTCATATTTCATTTTCCATTTATGTCCCAAAGATGTACATTGTCAATTGGCATGACTCACTTCCTCCAATTGAAGTGAGTATGAGGTTTCTTTAAGTATATCTTAAGATGGAAAGGTGGAGCCTCCCTAGTGGTGCAGCAGTTGAGTGCTGGGTTGCGAAGCTGCCCGCAGCCTCTGCAGTGCCGGTTCGATCCCTGGCTGCTTCCCAGCCACTGGAGGAGGGTCCCACATGGCGCACAGACCTCTCCTGCCGCCCGCTGCTCCCCTCAGCAGTGTACTTCGGTCCTTCTGCCTGTTCTGCTCCCCACTCTGGCTCTGGTGAAATCTCTCAACCTCCCACACTTCTGACTGTACCCAGTGCTTGTACACATGAAAAAAAAAAAAAAAAAAATGGAAAGGTGTCCTGTTCAGGGTTAATTCCTTTGTTCACCCTGGGCTGAATCTAACCTGCACCAAGGAGTAAGCAAAGTGAATGTATATAATGCTTGTGTTCATTCATTTTAGAAGTGTTTTGAGTCTTTCTTTACAAATTTGATGCTATTTTGATCACAAACATGCCACAGAAACTTAATTTATATAACTCTGCCTATCATAAAATTAATATTCATATATGTCATATTGCTCATATCTCAGTTTCCATCAACCTATTTAAGATTTCAAGTAAGGATTTACTGTGTACAATTCTAAAACTGTGGAATACAATTAGCAGAGTCAAAAACTAGAGTTTTTATAATTGTATTACCAAAGTCCCATCTTACTTTGAGATATATATATCCCAATGTACAAAAAATATACACATGGAACACTGCCTTGCATGCAAGGGTAACAGCCAAAAGTCTCCAAAATATAAAATTCATGCAATCACTACAAATTGTACTGACACTGAGGTCCCTATTTAGCACTTATAGAGAGCATAGAGATATATACAATATACATGTATACATAGTTAAATATATACATACAGGTATATGTATATATGCAAACTTTACCTTTACCATGGGTCAAAATGAAAAATACACTACAATTCATACTTACGATTACTTTATAGTAATAGCAATTCTAATATATAAGCCTGTTATTAGAGCTCAGTATTTCACTTCTCACATTTTTTCTAGTAATGTTTCTTTTACAATATCATTTTTTATTAAAGAATTACACTGTACAAACTAATGGTAGTAATAGTTCCAAATCCCAATGTTACTTAGTTCATTTTTCCACTTTAGTCTTAACGAAGACACTCAGTGATTAATGAAGATTCATTACTGTGAATCCTTAGGGAGAAAACGACAAAATTTGGATTCTAATGTCCTATATTATAAAGAACCCCAAACTAGATTTTTAGGTACTATAAGGAAAACAGGGGAAAACTCTACTGAATTAACTTCATTCTCAGTTAATTCTTACGATATACTTAAAGATAACTATATCATGTCTGAGGAATTATTTTATGAAAACCTTTTTCAAATATATACTTTTCTAAATTTAAATAATGTGGGCCTCCCCGGTGGCGCAGTGGTTGAGTGCTGGGCTGTGAAGCTGCCCTCGGCATCAGCTGCACCGGTTCCATAACCCACCACAGTTCCATCCCTCCACTGCCTGTGAGGGTCCCACATGGCATGCAGACCTCTCCTGCAGCGCCCGCTGCTCCTCTCCGCAGTGTCCTTCATCAGTCTGCCTGTTTTGTTCCCCGCTCTGGCTCTAGTGAATTTTCTCACCCTCCCGCTCTTCTGACTGGTACCCAGTGCTTGTATAAATAAATAAATAATTTTTACAAAATAAATTTAAATATTTAAAAAATAAATTAAAATAATGCGATAAATTTAAACTAAAATGAAACACTAAATTTGAACCATACTTCGTATCAATCTACTCAAAATAAATTACTGCTTATTTATTATGTAAAAGTGGATGAGTAAAATTTCCAGTTAAAGTAGGACCATGAAATTAAGTTTATCATCTTGTGAAAAGGACCACACCTACGTAGTCCAGTATGTTCATCTACAGATGAAATGAATATTGAGACTTCAAACTGTATAAATGAGCTTTTCAATAGGCGATCACCCAGTAGAATGAAATCTATTAAATAAATACATTCAAAATAATAGAAATCATAGGGGATATAATTTAAATACTACATTGAAAAATAATACTAGTTTTTACTGTATGATAATTGTCTTTACAACTCAGACACTTTAAAAACAGGCAATAATTCAAGTCACACAAAGAAAAAGTCGAAACAAAAATTACTGAGCAAAATAAAAATTTCTCAGTAAAACCAATATTTATACCCATCCCCAGTTAGATATGCCTCCCATCAATTTTTGTCAGAATGGATGTAAAAACAAACATCATTGACTACATTTTAGTAAACTATAATGTGCATTATAATAATCAAAACTAGACAACACATTAAAGTGTCAGTATTCTCACCTCCCAAGGAAATACCAAGACTGGCCAGAATTAGGATCTGCCTCCAAAGACTTTTGAAGATACTGAATAGCATAGCTTTCCTTGGTAGTTAGGTCTCCGAGTAGATCCATATTATGATGCATCCATCCTATGATTAAAAAAATATAAAGCATTTTTTACTTTACTATTTTTTACTTTACCATTACTCAACTATTTTTCTAGTTTTAAGAGTATCTTGAATGGCCTCCTGGTGGCACAGCGGGTTGAGCGCAGTGCTATGAAGCTGTCCTCAGCCTTTGCAGTGCAGGTTCAATTCCCGGCTGGCCAGGGAGATACCCACATAGCACAAAAGACCTCTCTGTCTCACCCGCTGCTCCCCTCAGCGGTGTTTTCGGTCTGTCTGCCTAGTCTGCTCCCCACTCTGTCTCTAGTGAAACCTCCAATAACTCTGGCCGGTAGCCCAGTTCTTGTATAAATAAATAAAACAATATCATGATAAACAATAAATAAATAAACAATAAATAAATAACTTGTATAAATAAATAAAACAATATCATGAAGACTACAAATAAAGTAAGTGACCCTTTAGGTGCATCAATTCAACTTCCTTTAATCAGCCCATTCCTAAATTAAAAACTAAAACTGTGGATAGCTATACAGAACTGTACTTCACACAAAAAAGCAACAAATGGCTCTACAAGAATAGAGAAAGCTTTTTTTTAATATTTTATTTTATATATTTTTACATCATTTTTCATTTTTGCACAATGCATGGGTTTTCTTTTTTTTTTTTTTTAAATTTATTTATTTATACACAAACTGGTACAGGCCAGATTGCAGGAGGGTGAAAAGATTCACCAGAGACAGAGTGGGGAACAGAACAGGCAGTATGACTAAATACATTGCTGAAGGGAGCAGCAGGCGAGACAGAAGAGGTCTGCCCCACCATGTGGTATTCTCACCAGCCGGCCAGGATCAAACCTGTGCTGCAGAGGCTACAGGCAGCTTCACAATGTGGCGCTCAACCACCTGCGCCACAAGGGAGGACCAATGTATGCATTTTGATCTTGATTAGTGTCAAAATGGGGGCGGGGGAGAGAATTGTATGAGGAATATAACCAAGAGAAAACTTTTTTTTAAGGATTTATTTATACATACAAGAATTGGGGTACAAACCAAAGTTGGGGGTGAGAAGATTCACCAGAGACAGAGCGGGGAACAGAACAGGTAGACTGACTGAAATACACTGCTGAGGGGAGCAGGCAAGCCAGGAGAGGTCTGCTATACCATGTGGATAGACCACTGGCCAAGATCGAACTCGTGCTGCAGTGGCTGCGGCTAGCTTCATAGATTGTGCCTTAAACCCATGTGTGCAGGGAGGCCCAAGAATATAGAAAACTTTTAATGATTCTGGATACTACACTGATATGCAGTAGATTGGAAGCCACTGAATCCCCTTTTCTAAATTTAATTCCTAAAGCAAACTCAACTTATAAACCAAAAACATTTAAAGATGGTTTATTTTCCCTTTAAAATTAAATAATTGTGAAAATAATCTAGCAAGTTATTTCTTTTATAAAAAAGTTTATATAATCAAAGAATTAATTTAAGTATATTTACAAGATTTTACGGAAAACTCTATCACTGCCCTATCAGTTACACTCACTGACATACTAACTACAGCATTATTTGCCGAGAGTGAAACCAAAAAAAGTAAATGAAACCTCCAGGAACTATCTGGAAACCTAAAGGAAAATTAGATTCAAACATTTGTAGGAGTACAAAATATCAGATAACTAAACAGGCTTAGAACTACATCTACATAAAAGAGTGTGACAGGAGTATAATAAAATATGATAAAATGCTAAAATTCAGGAACTATTTAAATTAGCATTGACGGAGGAAGGAGCTACAAGGTCAAGAACCTAACTAACACAAGGAGTTAGGGATAGAAGGGATTAGCATAATCCATTAGCCTGGTTATGGAAACCAAGACTCTTAGGCATCAATGCCCAGATCAGGATGTGCAACACCCAGAAACTATCAGACTGCTATAGGAGCGAGCAAAACCATCCACCCACAAAGATGAGCCCCTCCCTGAAGATGATAAAACCTAATGTAGCCCGCACAACAGGGTAGCACTCCATCTGCCCACTTGTAACTATGCGGGTGCGTCCTTTCACCAACTCCTTCCCTCCACAGGGCAGCAGCCTTCCTGCCTGCCTGTGACCTGTATCATCTCCTCACTGACGTCCCTCAGTGAAGGCAGCTGTCCTCAATACCACTGGCCTTCAACCATGCAGGCCTCTTTGAGCAAACCTGTCCCTTTTGGGGCAGCTTTTCCTGTCCGCTTGTGTCTATGCAAGTGTCTTTTACCATTCTATCCCTTTTCTAATAAACCTGCTCTTTAAATAGAAATGTCTCTGTTTCGTGAAGAAACTCTCCTGGGAAACTCACTGCGTGCCGCTGAAATGGAAGCTCTGGTAAAGCCTTTCCCAGAGTAAACCCAAGTACCAGGCACTAACTCCAACATCATCATCAAGCGTTAGGGTTGTTAATCAATTCAAATGTATAAAATTATTTTTACAAATATCATACAAACTGCATGCTTAATTTCTTTTGATGCTATAGATATCACAAAGCTATTATTAAAATATTTTTATTATGAAAAATTTCACTTTCATCAAATAAAAATAGTGGGTAGAAAATTCGGATGCAAATACCAAAACAAACATGAAATATGAGCAACAAGAATTAAAGGCAGGGGGCCCTCCCTGGTGGCTCAAGGGGTTAAATACCGCACTGTGAAACAATCCGTAGCCTCTGGCCAGCCAGGGAGCACAGCAGACCTCTCCTGTCTCGCCTGCTGCTCCCTTCAGCAGTATGTCCATCTGCCTGTTCTCTTCAGTCCATCTGCCTATTCTGCTGAGTCCTCTCACCCCCCACACCTCTGGCCTATACCCCAGTTCTTGTATGCATAAATAATAAATGAATCTTTAAAAAAAAAAAAAGAATTAAAGGCAAACAGCCTCACTATCCTGTAAGGATTATCAGGTGTTTTTTTTAATAATTTTTTTTAAGGATTTACTTATTTATGCATGTAAGAACTGGGATATAGGCCAGAGATGCAGCGGGGTGAGAGGACTCACCAGAAACAGTGGGGAATAGAACAGGTAGATTGACTGAAGTATACCGCTGAGGGGAGCAGCAGGTGAGTTAGGAGAGGTCTGCTGCTCCATGTAGGTTGCCCCCTGACGGGCCAGGGATTGAACTCAGGCTGCAGAGGCTGCGGACTGCTTCATAGTGCGGTGCTTAACCCCTTGCGCCACCAGGGAGGCCCCAGGATTATCAGGTTTTAAAATCACATTTTCTCCTTTAAAACAAAAGAATATAATAAAATAGTGAAAATAACATATAAAATACAAATATCATAATTTTTAATGTTTTCACTAATAAATATAATGATCCATGAAAGCAAGATCAGTAGCCCTTTACTACCAATGAGAATGATTTTAATTAAATTAACATTAAAGAGGAATAAGCATACAGAAACACTAAAACTTTTCCAGAGATAAAGTACTAGGGGTAATACAGAGAACTTAAAAGATTGATACTACAGATGTAGCGCATTTCAGCACTAATTTGGAAGAATTTTGGCAAAAAACAAACTTGATAGTTTGTATAAACATATTAACTCTCAGAATATTTATTCAGAAGTGAAATCTCAAGTTAATGTCACAATTAGTCCTTAAAAATGCAACTGTAAATAAAACTTGATTTCTTAGAATTAAATTGCAACCAACTACTGAGAAACTGGAGTTAACAGTGATATATAATAAAAAGTAACAATTTACGTACCTAACTGTTGTAAGACAATAGCTTTTACTTGTGCAGGTAGAATTTCTGTCTGTAAAAGTTGTTCATAGGCTTCTTTTGCAGTATGATACTTCCTCTAAATAGTCAAAAAGAGCACAGTTACAACAAGAAAAATTTTAAAGAGCTACTCTAGATTTTAAAGTGAACTGATATGATTAACTTTTACAAATAATGAGGTAGGATAAAAACTAAATTAAACTCACACAAAAAAAGGGTGATTAAAGAAGAAAAATAATTTAGATTTCTACTATAAAATATAAGTGACAGTAAAATGTCTTTTTGTATTTTTTTTAACTAACTGAACACTTGAACAGACCAGGTGCAGGCTAAGATACAAAAATTAATCTTCAATATAATAAAGTATAAATAACACAAGACATTTTAAAAAATCTGCTAAATCCCAAAAGTTGCAGGGAAAATAAATTCCAGCTCATGCATTATTTAACAACATTCAGAGTTATAAAATATTCAACTACTAATTACAGATAAATTATATGACAAGTTAATTAAGTGCCTGCATTCTTTACAAAATGTGTAATAAGACCAAAAAAAGAAACAGTTTTTATAGATATTAATTTCCCATAGTCATAATACAAGAAGAACATTATTAGATTTAAGGGACAGAAAATTTTTAAGTTAGTCTACTGCTTACAATTCTCCCTCAAAAACTATTAGTAAAGCTAAATCTATTATTGCTACCGTCATAATGTTTAAGATGACTCCTTAAGAATAAGAAAAAACTCAAGATTATATTCTTAAAACTTATTTGAAAAAACAAAAGCATTTATCATCTATTGCCTAAAGCAAAAGAAAAAAAAAGCACTATTCCAAAGACATCTGTATAAAAATAACAGCTATGTAATTCAAATAAATATATAAATTGGGAATAAAAGTGAGTTTTTACTCTAACCAAAAGTAGAGGGAAAAATTGTTAATGAGGGGGGCCACCGTGGTGGCGCAAGGGGTTCAACACTGCACTACGAAGCAATCCGTAGCCTCTGCAGCACGAGTTCAATTCCCCGACAGACCAGGGAGCAACCCACATGGCGAGGCTGACCTTTCCTGTCTCCCCACTGCTCTCTTCAGCAGTGTATTTTGGTCAATCTGCCTGTTTTGTTCCCCGCTCTGTCTCTGATGAATCCTCTAAACCTGCCACACCTTTGGCCTGTACCCCAGCTCGTGTGCATAAATAAATAAATCTTTAAAAAATAAACACACAACTGTTAATGATACATATCTTTATGGTATATAGCTATACTTACCTATACACATACACACCGTAACTGAAAGAGACACCAATCTGACACTCACAAAATTTTTTGCCCATATATATAAGCATGAGAAACACATGTGGGTATGTGCACTAACACACACTCACAATAAACTAAGCAAAGTTACAGGATTAAAAAAATTAACAATAGAAACTACATATGTATACTAGCAAAGAATTCAAAACAAATTAAGAAAATGATTTTAAACAGAAATTTCAACATTAAATATCAGAAAAAGAGTGTTCAGCATAAATCTGTCACAGATGTGGGGGACTTTTGTGTACTAAAAGTTACAGAACACCACATTTTCATTTATCACCTCCCAGTGTTTTTTTTCATATCCTAGGTATTGGAAACAGTACTGAAATGAATATATGTGTGTTAGTATGATCTTGGAATCTTCATGTTTTTCAGATACTCAGAACTGGGATTACTAAACACTCAGAAGTGGGACTGAATTATTGATAGGTATAGTCTGATTTTTGAGGAATGGTAATTCTGATTATCACAGCAACTGCACTATTTTGCATTCATACCAACAGTATGCATCCATACACTCAAATTTCTCAATATTCCTGTCAACATTTTAAGTCGTTTAAACTTTGATAAAACTCAGAATGACATATTTGAAGTAAAGTCTTATTTGGCTTTGATTTTCATTTCTTGTTGAATAGTGATGTTGAACAATTTTGTAAGTATACTTGTTATATGTGTCAAATTTCTTTTGTAAGCTTTAGTTCATTCTTAAATCATTCTGGGACATGCAGGCACATACCCTTTTGCCAGCAGTCTCTACCCACACTCAGGAAGTTTTCTCAATCCCCATCTTAGTCATCAGCACCCTGGTAGCAGACAACAGCCCCAGTCAAGGACATTCAAAGAACAGGCTATAACCAGGAGCCTGAAGCAAAACTTTGCAGCATAGGAATCACACACACTATGTTCTGGGCTATAACAGGCCTTGATCAACATCATTGACATTCATACACCTTGCAGAAAGCACTCCCTTAGAAACAAAATCAGTGAACAGAATCTCAAAACTGATACTTTAAAGAAGGAAATAAAGGAAACACAAAATGAAGAAAAGACTGACAAGAGGAAATGAAAAATGCTATAGTAAGCTACAGAAGAAAAATAAACAAGATAGAAGAGTAAATCTGTGAACTTGGAGGGATGCATTTACAAAGAAGCATGACAGTCTAAGAAAAGAGAAACGTTTTAAAAAAACAAAGAGGGCCTCCCTGGTGTCAGAAGAGGTTAAGCACAGCACTGAGATTAAGCACAGCCCGATGAAGCTATCTGCAGCACGAGTTCAATCCCAGGCCACCCAGGGAGGTGACCCACATGGCACAGCAGACCTCTCCCGACTCTCACACTACTCCCTTCAGCAGTCTATTTCAGTCAGTATTCCTGTTCTGTTCCCCACTCTGTCTCTGGTGAATCCTCTCACCCTCTGCAACTCTGGCCTGTACCCCAGTTCTTGTATGCATAAATAAATAAATCTTTAAAATAGAAAAAGACTTCTAAACATCAAAACATGCTTACAAACATTTATTTTGACTCGCCCTATAAAACTATATGCGCTCACGTATGTTATGAAATTAGCAAAAGTAACACAATAAATTAAACTCAAGGAAAAGAGAAAATGCAGAAAAGAAATTTAATAAATGGAAAACAAAGATGTCTTTGAAAAGATTAACAATGGATTTTTTTTTTTTTCATTTGTTTATGTCACATGAAAAGCTCTGGCAAGACTGATCAATAAATAAAGAAGGGGCAAATGAAAAAAATAAGCAAAAAAAAGCCTCATAACAGACCTCAGCAAGCATTACAAACAAATATATGGCACTAATATGTAAGTGAAATTTAAACATTTTCCCCAAAAGTAAAACTCAGCCAACCTAGAGATCCACGATCTCCTCCAATCTAGTAAAAATAAGGTCTGATCCAGTAATTTTAATGACATAAAAGAACTAGTAAAAAAAAAAAATCTTTAGGGCCTCCCCTGTGGCGCAGCGATTGAGCGCTGGGTTGCAAAGCTGCCCACAGCCTCTGCAGCACCGGTTCGATCCCCAGCTGCTCCCCGGCCACCAGAGGAGGGTCCCACATGGCGCGCAGACCTCTCCTGCCGCCCGCTGCTCCCCTCAGCAGTGTACTTCGGTCCTTCTGCTGCTCTGCTCCCCGCTCTGGCTCTGGTGAATTCTCTCACCCTCCCGCACTTCTGACTGTACCCAGTGCTTGTATAAATAAATAAATAAATCTTTTAAAAAAAAAAATCTTTAACACAACCCCCTCAAAAGAATATAAAATAATGTGAAGCTGTGAAAAATTGAAAAAAAAAAAAAAAATAGCGCCTCCCTGGTGGCACAAGGGGTTAAGCACATCACTATGAAGATATCCGCAGCAACAGAAGCATGAGTTCGATCCCCAGCCAGAGCGCTACCCTCATGGCGAAACAGACCTCTCCTGTCTCGCCTGCTGCTCCCCTCAGCCCTATATTTCAGTCAGTCCACCTGTTCTGTTCCCCACTCTATCTCTGGTGAATTCTCTCACCGCCTACACTTCTGGCCTGTACCCTAGTTCTTGTATGCATAAATAAATAAATCTTCTAAAAAAAAATTAAAAACTAAGATCAAATAAGGTATTGTTTCCAAATTTCTGTGAATCAAATTTAATTACCCAATGTTTCAAAGACATTACAAAAAAGTTACAACCGATCTTTATCATGAAAATAGATGCAGAAACCTAATATATAACACTAAAATCAACAATGAACAATAGAAATACATTTCAACCAATTATCTTTATATTAGGAATGCAAGACTGGATTACTAAGTAAAAGGTAACTGTTGGCATCTGATTGCTAACAAGATGTGGAAAACAGATTTTTCTTTATTTCTTTCACCAAATACAGCTAAATGCGATCTATATTATTTTAAAAGAAATACCAGAATCTTCAAAAGACAAAATATGAAAGGGAAGCAAGAACAATATAGCATGAAATGAAGAATTACTAGGACTCTGGTTTTTCATGTTGATTTGTTTTCTTCACTTCATGTTACATGAAATATACCTAACAGCTTCTTTGAAAAGTCAACAACATGGAAACACTAACATGTGCACACAGAGGTTTAAGAAAAGACTGATCCCTCTAGCTTAAAAAGTAGGAAAGGAGGAAACAAACATCATGTATCTCCAAACATATCTCTATAAAGTAATACATGTAAATAATTAAATAACATTTAATTTAAAATACAGACCGAGAAAAAGCCAATTCCCAGTTTTGAGAATATATAATTATATAATATATATGGGAAATATATATGGGAAATATAATATATATGGGAAACTTTGCTATTATCCTCTGCCATTTTGCTGACTTCTGTAACTTAAAATTAGTTCAAAATAAGTAGTTTGAAAAAACTCAGTATAACAAAATGAGATTGGTAAAAAATAAGAGCTGACTTTCAGGGCCTCCCCTGGTAGCGCAGCGGTTGAGTGCTGGGCTGTGAAGCTGCCCACAGCCTCTGCCGTGCAGGTTCGATCCCCGGCCACCAGCAAGGGTCCCACAGGGCACACGGACCTCTCCTGCCGTGCCCACTGCTCCCCTCAGCAGTGTCCTCAATCTGTCTGCCTGTTCTGCTCCCCACTGTGGCTCTGGTGAATTTTCTCACCCTCCCACGCTTCTGACTGTACCCAGTGCTTGTATAAACAAATAAATCTTTAAAAAAAAAAAAAAAAAAAAAGACCTAACCTTCACCAAAAAAAATTTTGGAAACTATCACATGACAAATAATATGTCTGT